GTGGTTTTACCAATGTTCAGTTGGTTGAGAGAGGCTTGAGGATAAATCCTACAGTAATTGCTAAACCAATCCCTAGATTGAGGTTTCATAGATATATATGTATTGTATTATACAACCTGTAATACACCAATATTATACATTTAATCCAGGGGAAGGCAGGTTAAAGGAATTATTTCTTAAAAAACTACCAACTATTTTTTCAAAATTATTTTTTTTGGAATGTTCAATAACTTATTTTCTGTCCAGTTGTTGAAATTATATTTCCAGACGCCAAGCTGTTTTATGTTGTTATATATAATCTTTCTTTACGATATTAAATTTTAACTTAGTCAATTGTTTACAGAGCGTCCCATATCATATTAGATTATCTCCAATCTTTAACACCAAAATAAACCCTTAATACTCGAAAAACTTATACTTTTCCGCAAGAAAATTCTTATATAAGCCTTATGTTATTTTTCAAAACGATTCATTCTAATGAAATTTTCTAATTAGTCCCGAAAATCGTAATTTAGACCCGTTCTCGGTCTAATATGATGCGGGACACCCTGTTGTTCAATTAACAAAGATATCGTAAAAAAAACACTAATAATGATACAATGTTTAAGCTTTGCCTCGTGATAAGAAAGTAAAACAAAATTTGACCAAAGCTTACAGAAGTAATTTACTCCTGATGTTTGCACGAACGTTTAAAAGACATCTCTGAGAATTTCCTGAACATAAATGTTTATAAATTATAAGATTTTGATTTTAGTTTTCTGCACGGTCTTGAAAAAAGTATTGTTTTATTATATAAATAAAGATACCTTATTTTTACCCAGTTTAGGTCGAAAAACATTTCTGGAAAATAAGAATTCCTTTCCATAGTTTGTCTTCTCAATAAACAATATAAAGACATACATAAAGAATATCTGATTATTGGATTCTAATAGAACCAGATTAATGCTTAGCTAACTCACCATATTACAGAATATTGCAGGGATATCAATATCAATATCAAAATAAAGTAAATATTATTTTTCACTCTTTGAACAAAGATAAGCTAAATTTTGTGTAAGGTAGTTAGTATAGGTAAAGCTGGTGTAACTACCTGCTTAAGCTGGTGGGTCAACAGAATTAGATAAGCTTGAAGTATCTTTATAAATTCCTACCTTTAAATATGAAGCTGTAAAATTTGGTTTTCAAAGAGAAAAAGAAAATAAAACTTTATGAGGTTTGCCCCCATACGTACATGGTTCATGGTTGTACAGTACATGGTCCATGGTTGTACAGTAACGTAACTGGTAATTAATTGTGTCTAAAAGCTAAATCTTTCCCCATTAATATTAATCTGAGAATATTTAGTTAGCGTAGAGATCCATCAAAACTTTATCCTTCTCCTCCATCCCTCAAAACTTTTATATTCCCTCATCTTGTACCTCCCCCCTCCCTCCACTACTTCTTTAAATCCTCCTCCCCTCTCCTCCAGTCAAGTACTATCCCCCTCATACTTCTTTAAATATCCCCCCCTCCTTCCATACTCCTTCCAGTCCCCAATTCTTTAAGTCCTTCCCCACCTTTCACTTCTTTAGATTGATCCCCTTCTATTCCTTTCTCATTCATTATTCCTCTTTCCCTGTCATAGTTACATTGATCTGTTTTTAATTCATTTTATAATTGTACTTTCTGCTTTTATCATTCCATTCTCCAAATTCTCACTCTTTTTTCTTTGTTCTAAATATTCTTCTTATCTGAAATTGTTATTTAATGATCTTCCCTCTTTTGTCGTTTTTTTTTCTTTCTTTGTTTCTTTCTTTGTTTCTTTCTTTCTTTCCATCTTTCTTTATCTACCGCTACTTTGTTCTTTCTTTTTTCTGTATCGCTTTCTTTTATTCTTTTTTTCTTTCTTTAACTCTTTCATTTCTTACGTTTTTTCTTAAATTGATTTTTTTTCTTTCATTTTCACATTTAAAATGGTTAGGGAAAGAAATATTTACCATGGATAAAAGTAATGTTATGATATTACAAAACAGTTAAAAAAGGATCAGAACAAAATGTTTCAAAATTTGTTTTGTCTAAAATTGACATAATTTTTACTCTTTTAAAAAAGATCGTACGACAAATATGTCGAAAAAAAAATCCGGTTTTGTTCAAACTAAGCTAAACTAAACTCCTTAGCTTTTAATTTTCTCTCTCGAATATGTTTGAAATGTCGTCTTCCAACAAATTCCCTTTCAAAGGGTTTCAGAATATAAGATTGCATAAAGACAGATTTAGTAGAATTATTACTAAATGCGGAACAGCAAAAAGTCGAATTTGTAGAAAACAAAATAAATTTACTAATTTTTTTTTAATTTTTTGAAAATCAAATTTCGACGGAAGCAAATTCTTGATATTTTTATTATTATTTGGGCCAAATCGGTTCAGCCGCTTTTACTTTTTATTGGAACAAACAGACATACAAGCAAAGTACATGTATAGATATTAAAATGTGATGATTTGTAATATATTATGGACGGTAACCCTCCGATCCAAGATTTAGAAGAAACATAATAAAGTTTTTGGTTTAAAGAAAAATAAATCTTGTTTTACAACTCTAAATTGGAAATATATTAGATACGGTTGGATCTAGATTATATTTTAGTTCAGTTTGACATTAGTATTAAAAAAGAAGTATAGTTGATCGTTCACTAACTTGATTGTTCACAAAGTTAATCTTTCACAAACTTGATCTTTACGAAGTTAATCTTTCACAAACTTGATCTTTATGAAGTTTTTCATTCACAAACTTTATCGTTTATGAAGTTAATCATTCACAGACTTGATCTTTATGAAGTTAATCATTCACAAACTTGATCTTTATGAAGTTAATCATTCACAAACTTGATCTTTATGAAGTTAATCATTCACAAACTTGATCTTTATGAAGTTAATCATTCACAAACTTGATCTTTATGAAGTTAATCTTTCACAAACTTTATCGTTTATGAAGTTAATCATTCACAAACTTGATCGTTCACCAAGTTAATCGTTCAATAACTTGATCGTTCACGAATGTTTTTTATATTGTTTGTGAACATTTTTTTAAACCCCCGACCTTACCTTAACGAATTTGCTGAACGAACAAATTTACGAAATTTGTTAATAAGGGAACAAAATGAACAAATTAATTTAGAAAACGAACGGATTCATATTTTAACTAAACGATGGGTCGGTCACGAACGATAAACTATAAACTAGTTAGAAAAAAAATTTATGAGGATTAGAATTGTAGATTTAGGATTTGAACCGAATGGAGGAAGTTCAATGACCTCTCCAATTCATTAAATTTGATCCATGGGTGCTTAGGACAAACAGTACACGTATTTTCAAAGGAAAATACATTTTTTACCAACTCATCCGTTTTCTTATTTGTCGTCTTCCGTTTGGGCAAAACTATCGAGTATTACTTTTCTTGCTGTAGACAGTACAAAAATAATACAGTTACTTACTCAACAATATCTATGAATGTTTTTAGCTACAGTGAAACCCTTAATAACGAATACGTTGAAAGAATTCATCAAATGTCGTATTCTTCACTTTCTGATAATGGAATGTTGCAGATATTTAGTTTTTTAATTAAATGATTACATGGAACTCTTTAAAACTGTTCCCGCATATTCGTGGCTATTAATTTATTTTCGCAAATACTGAAATTTACGTAATATAGTATAAAACTCATTGAAAAATTGTCAAGACGACATTTGATAAATTCTTCCGATGTATTCGTTATTAAGGGTTTCACGTTATGTAAACGTTTACTACAAGTAAATACGGATTATTTGGATTATAGATTGAAAGTCGTCTTCAAAAATGCTAAAATAGGCATTATTCGGTAACTTTCGAACAAAACCCAGGCCCCACCCCCTCTCACTCTGTGGAACGTGAGGGTGAAACCGGGTATAATTTAGACGGAGATCTGCATTTTGATAGATAAATCTGAGCCGTAAAATTTTTTTCATTTGTGAAATGCTGTCATCGTTGGTTTTAAGGATTACCCGATGTAAGACTGAAAGTCCGTCTACAGGATATCAAGTTCAGTCGATAAATTCTGAAGCTCAGCTGGAAATCTAAAACAATTTATAACTAGCCCATTTTTTATTGTTTTGATTACAAACTGCCTTCTACTTCATTTTCTTTTCTTTATCACTACTTGATAAGAAAAGTCTATTGGAAATATGTTTTTTTACATAATTACGTTAGTATCCTCTTTGGATTATTGGATTATTATTATTATTATGATTTATTTGCCGAACACATAAAATTGGTTCAGATATTAGATAAGAACTATAATTCAATGTATGCATAGGTTCTCAACTAACAACTTTAATTCTTCTCTAATGTCGTCTTCTTCACAGTCCCGGAGCGAGCTGTAACAGGAGATGCTGCAGACATTCGATATTGTCTTTTTCTTGAATGGTAAGCGGCCCACATTCTTCAAAGATGGCTCTTGGTAGGCTGTTTAATATATCTAGAGAGAATTCGTCAGAGATATTTGAAATGTTGCTTCCAAAGTCGTACTGTAGAGAATATGCAGATATCGATCCAACTTGCCAAATCAGTGGATTCCAACTATGCAAAATAGACTTGGCAAACTTGGCAAATCGTCTCAGTAAAAGAACTCTCACAGAGTTGAATTCTTTAGAAAAATTCTTGTGGCAAGTTCCAACAAACTTTGGATGATTATTTTGAAAAAATGAATTTTAATTTTTAACAACTTCAATACTATTTTTTCTCTCTCGGAATAAGTTAAATGAAAAAAGATTGACATTTTGTGCAAGTTTTCCTATTAAAAACTGAAAACTTTTTAGGATTAGTGAACATTTATTTTAAATCTCGTCAACTAAAATTGTTCCCCGAAAGTTTGACTGATCTACGGAAAAAATGAAAAAGTAAAATATTTTGAATTGAGTTTTATGAATAAAAGCTTGTAGAAAGCTTTTCCACTTTTAGAGTCACAATAAGCAAAGTGAAAATAGGAATACATATCTTATAATTTATTTCTCTCTATTTGTATGATACATCGTAATAAATCTACCTTCAATATTTGACTATATATGCACGACACCATTTTAGCTTAGATGGTGAGAATTACTAAAATTAGAAAAAAACATGACCTAACTTAATTTTTAATTGAAAAAAAGGAAGCAGAAATGGAATTTAACTAAGTTGTCACTGAAAAAGATAAAGAAACAAAAAATCAGCTCTGCATGTAGCAAATGCATTAAATTCAAATTGACAAAAAATAGTTTTGGTTTATTTTATATTTGAAAGTCTGAGTAGTGAAAGCAAAATATTACACGCTAGCTCGGGATGTTGATCATTCAATTTTTCTTTTTATTTTGATAAACTATTCAAATCCGAGATCATCTCCTTCAACCTTAGGAACACCTAAACATGATATCATACAGTGGTATGCGATTATATCAATACAATAAAGACGACTTTTGATTTCAATTTTGATTTAAATCAAGCTGTTAAACAGCATGGATACACATAAATGTAGATCTCAAGAGAAGCTGTCAATTTAAAAAGCTTCTCTTTGATTACTTGTAAACTTGTAATTCTAAAAAAAAGATTGTTAACCATCAAAACTTTAATAAAAAAGTTGTCTTAATTGTATTGAAAAAATCGTCTACCACTGTATTCTAATATAACAGATAATAATTATAATTTTAATTATATTCATGATATTATTGATAATTGGAATAATAATAAAAACATGATACAACTATTTATAATATTAATGATAACAATAGTAATATATATGATTAAAATGATCTTGAAAATGATGACAAAATATTTATAAATATGATAATATTGAGCATGATATTGATTAATAATAACCTTCTCCATGACTTTCTTTGTAGTTGAACTCTTGGGTTTGGGTTGGGATCCAGTATCCGCTTGGTCTTAAGTAATTTAATTGAAATCATGATTTGAAACTTTAATTTTACATTTATCTAACATATATAAGAAAATTTCAACATATTCGTCTATTGTACAGTGTATACCTATACATTTATCTATTGTACAGTGTACACGTATATTTATCTATTGTACAGTGTACACGTATATTTATCTTTTGTACAGTGTACACGTATATTTATATATTTTACAGCGTACACATATATTTATCTATTGCAGTGCACACGTAAAAGTCTAATTTTAGTAAAAATAAGCCGACCAAAGGAAAACTCTAATTGTTGTAAAAATAAGCCGACCAAGAGAAAAATCTAATTGTAGTAAAAATAAGCCGACCAAGGTAAAAGTCTAATTGTAGTAAAAACAAGCCGACCAAGGGAAAAGTCCAATCATAGTAAAAATAAGCCGACCAAGGGAAAAGTCTAATTGTAGTATAAATAAGCCGAGCAAGGGAAAATTCTAATTGTAGTAAAAATAAGCCGACCAAGGTAAAAGTCTAATTGCAGTAAAAAAAAAAATACCTTTGTCTTGAATTAGGAATTTATAAAATATTTAAATAAATGATTATATTTGATGTTGGAACGAGGTGGGATTAAAGTGAGGAATATTTTAGTTTAAACCAACCTGGCCAGGCATATAATAATGGATTAGATAAAATCCTACTAAATCATTGTTTTAACCGTTTTTATCCAGGGAATCTTAATAAACATGAAAAATTACGCAGTTGGATAAAGTGGTTTATCATAATTTTACAAAAATAAATATTCGGAGTTTATACTTATAATAATTCAATAAATATTCCGAGTTTATACTTATAATAATCTAATAAATATTCGGAGTTTATACTTATAATAATTTAATAAATATTCGGAGTTTATACTTATAATAATTTAATAAATATTACGAGTTTATACTTATAATAATTTAATGATAAAGATACAAATATATTATACATACATGAGGATGAACTAAGTATGGATAAACCGATAAAAGTTCGAGCACAAAAGGTTTTTTATTGTAAAACTAATAAAAATACTGTGGTTGCCAATGTATTTTAAGACTAGTTTAACAACGCAGACTATGTACTTAAAGGGTTTGTTCGAAAATATGAAAGTTGGTATAAATTTAATTGAATTATTCACGATCTTAGTGAAATAATGCAACTTGTGGATTTGATTGGATTCTACGCTCTTGGGTTTAAGAAGTTTTTAAACATTTTCTCCTTATATAGGCAGCAGATAAAAGTAGAACTAGTAGCAAACAATAATTCGATATCAACCTAAAACCCCTCTCATTTTTTGCGAACACTCTCTTTAAAGCTGATGAAGCAACCTAAGTCATTATTACAGTTTGATCGGCTAAAAACAAGAGGTTTTGGAAATTATAATGCCAAATATTCTTAAAGGGACTGTTAGCATAATTTCAAGTAATCTTCACTTAAAGCAGGGAATCCCCGATTCAAAATGGTTCCCTTTAAACGTTAGACTGATCTATGATGGCTGACTTTTCTTTATCTATCTAAAGAAACTCGTGCCATTGTAGAACACTTTGTGTGTAAGCTGTTTATATTTTCAAGGAATAATTACGGATATTGCAGCCTGACATGGGATCCATCTTTCACATAAAAAATCAATAAAATATTCTGGTAATAGGAAGCTATTATGTGAATTATTAAAATTTTCAAAATTAAATGCTTTTATCCTCCCCAGATACTAAAGGAACACTGGTACATCTATTCTTGTTTACAAGCACGGCCAGAGAGAACTGGTTTCAATATCTACGCAGAGAATACGCAACAGCAAGAAACTCTCCCTGCATGCCTTATTAGTCCAGTGCCGTAAATAGGGGGGGTTATTGGGGTTACTTACCCCCCCCCCTAGAATCCTTGGGGTAATTCCCCCCCCCTAGAATCTTAGGGGTAAATACCCCTTCCCCCTAGAATCTTTGGGACACAAACATCCCGGTTTAGTAACTTGATCTCCATTCTCCATGTCCATGATTACCAATAAAAGGACAAATGTAAAAACAATTTTGGCGCTTCGTGCAGATAATCTTACTCAATAAACTTAAAAAAGTAACATAGATAAATTTTACCCAAAAATCGAGTCTTTTAATGCAGTAGCGTACTTGCACTATATCTCAAATTAAGTATACAGCTCTTCCGGGGGGGGGGGGAATAAAATGTTAAAAGATCAAGGTTATTAAGAATAAAATTGTAAAAAGTAAGATATTTCCCTTTTAATATCGTGAAATTAACATATATACCTAGTACATTGACGACAAGAAAATTTTAGAAATTATAAATTAGAATATAAACAAAGACAATATTTTTTCAAAGTTTTGTAGAGTAGCTTTTCTAAAGATTTAAAAAAGTTACATCTTTTTCCTCTTAGAGTAAAACTATTTTTTATGTAACTTAAAATAAATTCAGTTTTTTACAGATCTTTGTAGTTAATGTAAAACGAATGACTATAATGAAGAATATAAAACAAGGTGAAAGCTGAAAGGAAATGAAGCCTTTATTTGATGGAGTTTGTAAATGCCAGAAATGAGTGGAAAATGCAAATCAAACCAAACTAAAAACAATAATTTGATATACATTATGATATTTTTCTTTGGGTAAAAAATTGTAGGGGGGAGAGGGTAAAAAAAAATTCGCGCGCCTAATTAAAAAAATTTACCCCCCACTCCCNAGGTCAGAAGTTCAGAAGAGTGGATGTCATGCGCGTATAGACGATGTAACATTACCAGATCAAGAGATTATAATATTTTGAACCTGTAATGGTGTTCTCGGTGGTGTTGGTCAGCGTATACAGACATTTCTGACCGCAGGGACAGGATGTACATTCAGTCTCAGTTCCTTCCAGGTTTACTCGGACCAAGGGTGCTCCCTTCCTTTGTTTTACCTCAAACAAAGGTGAATAAACCTTTGAGTACATTATACAGTGAGACCCATAAAACTGTGGAATAAGAAAACGAGATTTAGACAATCTTTGGCGTGTTCTTTTCACGCAAATTGTTTTACCAGTTGCTTGAAAACTCAACTTTTAATTTTTAATTTTTAAGAGAATTGAAAATTAAAACTTTAGTCTTTCAGTCGTCTTCATATCCCACAGTTTTATAGTTTTAATAAATTTTCATAAAGGTATATTATAATATATGTAACTGTATATAGAATCTAATAAAATGTTGGTAGAATCTCATAACATTTGTAACTCTGGATCGAATCTAAAAAAAATTTTGATAGAATCTTAGAAAACGTTTTAGAGTCAATCAATGATGTGGCCGGAACTTTCAAGCTAAGCCATTAAATTCAAAAGTTTGTGCTGAGGAGTGAATATGTGTAGATTAAGTGCTCATCCAAAAGTTACCACCAAAGTCTTATATTGTAAATCCTATTACGTTAAAACATGTCTGGTCATACAAACTATGTTCATTATTTTTTTCAAACATTGCTGCAAATTAAGAAAGCAAGCAAACATGCTTTTGTTTCAATTGAGTGCACTTATGGTTGCTTTATTTTTTAATGGACTAATTT